GTCTCATTGTATTGAAAATTAATTTCATTCATGTAATCAAATAATTGAATTCACAATATTACTTTGTATTATTGTCAACTTTACAATGTATTTCAAAGTTAATTAATTTGATTAAATTTGGAATTTTCATTGGTTAATGAGAAAGTGAAATAATTTCGCAATGAATTTATTTATAATTTTTGCTGTAATTTTATGCTATATAATGTAAGCATTGATTGAATTTATTGATTTTCGTTTAATTTTTCATTGCATAAAATTTTTAGCTCTTTTTTTCGCTCTTTTTTTGTATTGCATTTATTAAATTTAATGTAAGAAATGATTTAATTATATGTATAAATGTAATTCGAAAGAATGTAAATAAGAAAATAATTTATTTATTTACTATAAAAGTTTAATTTTGTCAATTGTTCATTTGCACATTTAAATGAGTGCTAAATTGAAATTTATCTTTTCTTAAAGTTAAAACAATCAGCAATTATATTAACTGTCCCATTGAAGGGGACAGTATGTGAGGTCTCGTGGTGTAGCGGTTATCACATCTGTCTAACACACAGAAGGTCGGCGGTTCGATTCCGCCCGAGATCATACCATCCTATTAATTAAACAGGATGGATTCGCGACCATTTTACCTCGAAAATGAAATTTAGTTTGGTCTTAAAACAATTTAACGTCTTGATATAAATTATTTAATTCATCCACTTCTTGGCATACACTTTTACGTGTACAATATCCAGTTTTTAAGTTTAGATTTTTCATATTTTCATTTCTAAATTATAAAATTTGGTATAATTTTAAGTAATATAATCTGATAAAATCGTTTATGATATTAAAAATATTTCACTAATAATATAACAAAAGAATAGCAATTTTTATCAATCCAAAATTACACCTCATAAACAAGCATTATTTTGGTAATGCATTATTTAAAATGAAATTAGGAATGAGCAATAAAAAATTAAAATTCATAAATCTATCAGATTGTTTGAATAATTTATACTTATTACTTTAAAAGACAGAATTTCCACTTTTTATAATTTCATCATAGAGTAAATATTTATCTATTTATTTATTTATTCTTTTTTTTTCTTTTTTTTTTGGAAAAATAAAGGGTAAAACAAAGTATTGCTAATATTTTGGCATATTCTTCTCATATTACTATTTCGGTATGGTGTTGTTAGCAATATTGCTTTAATTTTTTTCCTATTAATTTGAATATTTAAAAATTTTTAAATTGGAAAAATTACAATTTCCATTGAATATTTGAAATTGTAATTTTCATAAAAGTAAGCATTTCGCATTATAAATTATTTGTATTTGTAATAAAATTAATTTCATTTCATCTTGTTTTATTATCACAATAATACTTAACAATTCGTTTTTGTACAACTTGAAAAAATAAAATTTAAAAATGAGAAACAAAACAGAGTAAAAAAAGGAAAAGAAAAACAATTGAAAATTTTATATTTCAAATATGAAAGAAGTGAAGATCATGTACAATGATTGAAAAAAAAAAAAAATGAAAATGAAATAATTTGTTAAAAGAAGTAAACAATCAAAGAGCAACAAATTGTATACGAAAGATTTAAAAGTATAAATGAAGGCAAAAAATGCATAATTATCATTAAAATGTTTTTGTTAAATCTTGAATTTATTATTTTTTAATTGATAAAAAAAAAAGGAAAGGAAAAAGTTGTTTGGAATATTTGAGCAATATGTAAATAAACCAAAAATTACTACTCTTATTTATATTAAAATTTTAAATAATTCCTATATTATATGTTCCGTATATATTTAACTCTAAACTATACGTGAAAAATCAATATTTTACGACGAAACTCATTGTTACTAATTAAGGGCAATATTAGAAAGTTTCAAGTGGAATACCAAAACTTATTATTAGTCACAAACTTCATACCAAAGAAATCTTACACTAAACTTATCAATGAAGATTAATATGATAAACAAAGGGTTCTTCTTTTCGCTTAATTGCTTCATTGGTCAAATTTCAATTAATTAAATGATACATTTCCTCTGTTATCTGGTTTATTTCTACTGTTTGCAAAATGTTTCCATTTTGCGGAGTTTTTTACGAGTTCCCTTTTTTTTTAGCCAGTTAAGTGCGCCCAATTTATAGTATGTCATTTTTTTTTTTGTTTGCACACACTCTAATATCACCAACCAATCACTCTTCGTCTTTTTTTTTTTTATTACAGTACAACCGATGGTAATGTTGATTCGAATAAAACTTTCAAATTTCATCGTCTTTTAAATTTTCGACAAAAACATTCATATTTTACAAATATTCAAATTATGACAACATACAAGGAAAAAAAACGATATGTGCTCTTCGCCACTTCTGTTTCTCAAACTTTACATCACACTCCACTCCTTTAAAAAAGTTTTTTCCATCAATTCCATTTTTCTTTTCAGAATTTTTCCAACAAGCACTTCATGCCTATTCCTCAACCTATTATGCTACCATAACAAAAACTCAAAAATAACAAAAAAGAAGAAATGCATGCTTATAAAACAACAATAAAATCTTCTTTTCGTATAATTACAAATCAAAATATCTGTTGTTTCCATAATGGTCAAGGGATGAAATCATGTTTCTAATTACAGTGACTTGCTCTTGGATCCAAATAAAAGAAGATAACATGATGGTCATGTGTAGTAAGAGCGTACCATAATTAAAATGCTGTCATCATTATACCATGCAATAGAGTACTACTCTAATTTTTTTGACAGAATTTAGTACGATCATGGATAAACTTCCCTTGTAGTACACTGTGTTAGCAAGCCTTAAGTTTGATATCAGTAAACTGTGTAATATTAAATGACCAATTAAAAAGTTTCTGAACAGAAGATTTCTCTCAAGTGGCTGCACTCTTCTGTTTCCTATAATAAAGCGATCACTTTTCAAATACCACAAATACCCTCATTAGCTCACTTCTTATTGCAGTCAAAAACAGATTACCGTCAAAAATGACCCAGAGGAACATGCTGAGAATCAAAAAGCAAAATAATTCATACAATTTGCTACAAGAGCAACAGCAATATAACAGCAATACGAATACAGTCAGCATTTAAGGCATATCAACAAGAGCATTACATCATTTGGAGCGCCACGATTTACAACTTCTAGGCCTTGTTTTCGTTAATAAATTAATCACGACTAGAAAAGATGTCTAATTTTTAACCGACGAAATCTAGAAAACAGAAGCTGATTAAAGATGTATGCCTCAAACACAACTGTGAAGGAATAGAACGACATTTAACCTAACACAATCTGCATTGTTAACAATTGTCGCTTAATCGAAATCTTTATCTTCCAGATATCGATATTCGAATGTAAACTGCTCCTTCTTACGTTGGGACCATTTCTCATAATCGAAATACACATATGTACCCTGAAAAAATTGGCTGTTTTAAATAAAAAATGGTAATTAATCTCAGCAAAAAAAACTACAACGTAAAAACTACAACGTAGTAGGAATTTTTTTCCTTCTGATATTGGTTGTTCCAGCACCCTATCCATCGGTATGGAAAACTTTCCAAATACCTACTACATATATATCACTTCGAAATAAATCTGAAAATATTTACAGATGATACCTACCACCTAAGACTATATCAAATGATAAACAACTCTGTTCACTTTCCAACGACGCAGTAGCAAAGCACATATAGAATGATATGTAAAACCGGTGTATGTGAACACCTGGCATCAGATTTAATGTGTTAGGATATTCGAGTTTCTTTAAAGTTATTTGTCCATCATTAAATTTATTCCATATCATCAAAAATAATCAGCAGGAAATAACCATCCGGATCACCTTGGGTACAATCAAATATTCAGCATCAACATTCCAGTTCAATCATATCACTACCCAAAATTACGATTAAAAATCAGCACAGTTGACTTTCTTTATCATCTAAACGAAGAATAAGAATAGGAAATTTGTATATAGGATCTTACTTGCTCATAATCATCAGTTATTTGCTTCGGTTCCTCATGTCGCTGGAACCACATCAAATATTTCGTGTGAAATCGCCATGAAAGCTTTTTCAACGCTTTTGCCGCTAGTAGTTGTGCACGTGAACCCTAAAATTTAATAAAATTTGCTTGAGGAAGTATATATTCATTTATAAAAAAGAAGAGAGAATAAATACAGTCGAAAAAGAAAAAACGATATGTATCAATATGTATCAACTGACCTCCATATAATAAAAAGCGAAGAAAAGTGTCTCTGGACTCAATCGGAGGTAGTACTCTAATGTATCCGCATTGATTAATGGCGCTTGCGGATAATAAGCTGCGGTAACGCATGGCATTTTCGGCAAATAACTTCGTGGTTTCTCGGAATCCATCGGTAATGGTGTTCGAGAGAGCGCATGTTCTAACAATTTCAGCTGCGTTTCATACTCTGGCATTACCGGTGAACGGCCTAGTGGTGATGCCCCAAGCCACGCTGGTATCACGGCCTGCATTTGAAGTTGAATTTCAGGAAACAATAAATAGAGATTACGGTAGGATAGACAAGCAAAGTATGCTTATGTATCTGATGGTAACTTAACAGCTCCACGTAACATCAACACATCAATGCTGTCGTTTTTTTTTTCTTCTAGTCCATTCATGGTCATTTCTTATCATTCGATCTACTTCGCTATTCACGGTAATTGTTTATACAATGAGTGGTAGAGATGGATATGAAAACCATATTTTCAAAAATCTCATTATTTTATACTTGCCGTCTTCAACAATAAACTAATCATGCACTCCTAATAATTTCACCATTTTTAAGACCAGATTTCTAATGTTAAAACCAGCCGTTTCCTTTTTATGTATCTCCGCTTTTACGAAACTCACTGAATCCAGCCTTCACTTTCAAACTTTTTTCCAGGTCACTGTATAAGCACTATATGATGTCTCAGTAGTTTTTGTCAGTAGCTCAAATGTTATCCTCATTATCTCATTAACCTGAGCACGACCGATGAAATGACACCTATAGACATTTTTTGAACATCCAATTAAATCCTTATTAACAATAAAGTAGTGGCGGACTGTTGAGAATTCCTGAAAGTTCTTCTTCATGTCAAGAATACTCTAATTTCAAGCTTCAGTGCTACATCAGCTCACATTAAATATTAAGTAACCGTTAGTTGCTATGTTTTTAATTGTAATGGAAATTCATTGAAGCAATCTAAAATTAAAGCATGTACCGTTTGCGGTAAGTGATTTCGGATATCCTGCGTGGTATTCATCCGCAAGACCTGTCGCAAGGCATTCTGATCAGTGTCATTTCCTACTACATTATTTTGTAATGATACCGTAGTTGCATTTACTGCAGCTGCACTTGCAGTTACGGTAATCATATTCAACGCACTACTCGTCTTGCTGTTCACTTGAGAAGTTACCAGTGTTGTGGAATGTGCCACAGTTGACGATGGCATGTTTAAAGCGGCCGTATTTGTTACCGAATTTTGCAGTGATGATGCCTGTGCCGCCATTGACTTCAACGTAGCAATCTAAAAACAAAAATTTTGTAAACAAATAAAAAAATCAAATTGACGACAAAAATGACAGAGGGGAAAATACATGTAAACTGTTCAGCACTCTCTCTTTCTTTGTTAGTTTTATATACCGTCCTCTGTGATTTCATAAGCACTGTAACTCTTCGCAAAATAAGAAAGTATAAACTCGAACACGCCGTGTGTCACACGGCAATAGGTAGATCTCATTTAGTACCGTGTGACAATAGAAGAAAAAAGGACACGATTGTCCACAAGATGATACACGTACGTGGCAAATGCGGTAGATCTTGGTTAAGGAAGACTTGCATCAAGCATGAGTGTGGGAATCCTGAAATAGTTGCAGCAAACTTTCCCGTAAGATAGGAAGCCTGAAACAGTTGCAACAAACATGCGTTAGCGTGCCTGCAACATTGACGAGCAATGTACTGAGTATCGAACGAGCGTAATGTTCTTGACGAATTGTTTCTTTTCCTTCCACCACTTTTCGTTTTTTTTTTTTTTTTTTTTTCGGTTTAGAACTCTACGATCAGAACCACATAGCAGTTGATAAGGATACATGCTTAACCCTATTATTTAAGTCCATAAACTAGCTACTTCTCCCCCATCTTTATTGCTTTCTCGCGCACTCTCGTGAAATTACAAAAATATTCTTAAAAGTACAAAAAAATAAAAATTCGTGCGAGTACTTGAATGGGTTAACGTTACGTTCTTAATATAAAATTGAATCATTCAAAAATTTATCTTCTCTTAAGATCAGCAGTTGCAGAAAAACTTATTTCAATATTTTCTCTGCTGCACTGCACTACGTAAGGAACAGTTTTGCAGTCGTCAACACAATAGAGTAAAAGATTCATTTACAGAATTTGGTTCAAGCATTCTAGTTGGACTCTTTCAATTATATGTCTCATTTATTTTTACCACTGCACTGTGATGAACTATCAACGGAGGCTTTTAATCTTACCCTTCATAATGTTCCTATTTCTTTATCATCTTTCCCATTTTTCCAATCATTTTTCCCATCAACACTTCTTAGTGCTGCATCAAGTCCAATCCGTCTTCAAACATGAAGGTAACCAATCCCACATTTTACTGCTCTACCCTAATCAGCTATAGGTATTTGCATTTTTTTGCTTTTCATCGTACCATTTTTCCTGATCACCACTTTTCATGATCCCCTTAATTACGTAACTTATGCTACCTACGTATGCCAAGTCTGTCATCACAATTCTCCCCAGTGCAAAAAAAAAAAAAAAATAAGTGAGAGAAAGTGTTGAAGCCCAATTTTTCGACAAACAAAAAATACAGTTAGTCACCATACCTCATGCTGGCTACTTGTTGAACTCGAAACGGAAAAATGTTTAGCAACATTGGAATCCGGTGTTGAGGATCGTGATGTTGGCAGTATTCCTGAACTTAATGCTGCTGTTGCCTGTGATGATACACTCTGTAAGAGGGATAATCAATAACGGCGGTCTAGAAATCAAAAAAGAATCACTGTTTTCTTAACGTTATTTGTCAATACTTTTTCGAAACAAAAAATGAAAGAGAAAGAAAAAAGACGAAAACGGCTAGTTCAGCTAACCTCATCATTTTGTAGAAAGTAATGCGTTGGTTTAATCCAGGAAATAAAGTGAAAAAAGGAATGAAGGGAAGAGTATATACGACAATGGAAGCAACTTGATAAAAAATTTAAACGCCAACCAACTACTCTTTTTTCCAATCCCTTCCATCCATTTTTATTATAAACACACATACACATACACACACATGCACACACATACACATACATGCACACACATACACACATGCACAGACACATACACACACGCATACACACAGACATATACCATACATACACCAGCATCAGTTCGACTTAATGCGAATTAAAATTGAATGACTTGTTGATTTTTAATCGATCGATATTTGAAACAGATGGAGTTAGCTAAGATCGAAAAATCTCCTGTTTGAAAAATCACCTTTTACTTATTCAGAAAAAACTCATAAAAGAAATAATATACAATGACGTTTTGAAGTTTCCCATGCTTTTCTCCCAGCCTGCTTTTCAGAGGCTAGTTTTAAATTCTTATCAATGGAAATGACTACAAAGTCTATCTCTGATATCAAAAAATGCAAAAGTAAAAACAATGATTCAGTCATTCAAGAAATTCTTTCAGGAACAAGTATGTGTTGTAATGCCATAGACGTCTAACTGATTCACAACAATCACTAAATACCATCCCCTCTCCCTTCCTCATCCTCTACCATCCTCAACTTTCGAAAAAAAAAATCATACTAGTTAAAAGCAAAATCCAAAAATTAAAATTTAGTATTGTTTGATTAAAGAAAGGTTGGGAATTTGAAATTTCGGTCGCAAAAATAAGACGAAAAATACTATTCGACCGTCAGAGAGATGTTTTGCTTCACAGAGCAAGCTACAATTGTCTATCATCTTAAAATCTGCCATTGAAATAAATAATGCATGAATGCGTAGCCCAGAAAAAAGTATAAAAATAATAATGTGCTCATTAACTATTGCTTTGAATCTTAGAAAAAAATGACCCCTCGAAAGTATATTTATTCATTTTATCAACAAATTAAATTTTTTGATTTGAACTGTAAACTAATTACTGTCTAAACTTTTCAGAGTCAGTCAGTGACTGAATGAAACCTTTTGTCTCATCCTTCTCATCCTTTTGTCTCATCAGTATTGGATTCGAAACTGTTCCGATGATGCAAAAAATCACAAATAATGTCAAAGAACAAGTCGTACGCATCCAAGTCCAATACTCTGTTGATAGAACATTTGAAGGTGACGAAAAGTAGATCAAAATAAATGAGAGGGTAGAAGACGGGGACATTCTGATACGGAGAGCAAGTAAACATATTTGTGCATGAATAAGCACGCATACATTACTTAACATCCAGACAACATTACTTAACATCCGGGCATACCAAAAAATCAAACATACATCAAAACTTGCTACTCAAAAGGCAATTTTATTCACCCAGAATTCAGTTCATTTCTCAAATCTATTTTTAACCTAAAACAATTCGAATTTTCAGTTTACTTATTACTTTACCTTACCTTATCATTCCTTCTTGACCATTTTCCAGAAATATTCTAGTCTTAGCATACCCTTTAGGATAAGCTTGGTAGATCTCATGCTATAGATAAAATAGTATATTAAAAGGATGCTACTGATGGAATTTTTGTTTTGTACATAATTATCATAACATTTAGTCTCCTATATTTCAGCAACGGTTATTTTGCAAGATGAACAAACGCAATGCAATGGCCCTTCTTTCACCAGAAACCACTTCAGTCATTTCAAAACGATAACATCCGTTACTTAGCTTACTTCAAAATTTCAATGGTATCGTTTCTTGAGGATGTCATTGGAGATATTACATGCAAATGACCTGGTGATGTGGATGAAAAGATACAAATCCAGGATGAAAAGAGCGTAAAATTACAGTATGATTGAAACTAGAAAAGAACCGTGAGAAAGGTTCAAAATAGTGGATGATAATCGATCACAGGAAAAATCACTAGACTGAATATTTAAAGTGTCATTAGACTGAATATTGTTTATGTGCAAATCTGCATATACCTTACTCTTCTAGCATTGACCTTCGCTAACAGTTCCATGAAAGTCTTTTGTCCAAATTGCTTCTATTTGAAATGGTTTAAAATTGCATAAAAAACTTCCATAGTTGAATAAAAGAGGAAAACAAACTGATGGCAAGTCAATATGCAGTGATGATGGAATTGCGTTTTCATCGTTTACAGGAGCCGTTGGCTGGTGTTGCTGTGGTTGTTGTTGCGGTTGTTGTTGTGGCTGTTGTGGTTGTTGTTGTTGTGGTAGTTGTTGCTGTTGCTCTTGCTGTTGTTGTTGCTGCTGCTGCTGCTGCTGCACTACTCCAGATATTGCAATTTGTTGTTGTTGCTGTTGTTGTTGTTGTTGTTGCTGTTGCTGTTGCTGTGCAACTGAACTGGTAGTTGTTGTTGTTGTTGTCACAGAAATAATGCCCGGCGACTGTCGTACCACTTCAACTGGTTGCTTTACACTGTAATCCATATAAATAAAATCTCTTTAATAACAAAACCAATATATAAAATCAGTCAAATCATGTTTCGCTTAATTTTGTGGAAAAATACCAATATTTACACCAGTCCTACATTTAAAGTTTCAACTCGTTCCTAAAAAAATCAGATCAGTCATCTCAAACGAAAAAAAAATCGATCAACTGAGATCTTTCAGGATTTTTCCAGCAACCTTTCTTTCAGGATTTTTCCAGCAACCAAAAGCAGCGGTAAAAGTATAAGATTAAAAATGGAAGGATAACGAAATATTTGAGGAAAATGCTGATACAATATAATGTGAAACTAATACTAAGATAGGGCTTTTCATCCGATCCAAAAAATCACCAACAAGCAAGTAAGTGGAAGAATTGGGGAAATTAAATTCCCCCCCCCCCTCCCTCCAATAAAAAATACTTTACATATATTTTGATCGACTAATACATAGTGGTTTCTGTAAAACAAAACGAATAACAGTAACAGGACAGGTATTTTTAAAAAACACAACTTCCGCAGAAATTTGGTGGAAGTTATGGAAGTTTTAAATCGGTAGCAAAAAAGAAGCTAATCTGGTAAAATAAGAATCTAACATACAAACACCTCCAAGCCTTCTTATTGTCATTTCATTTGTCAATTTCATATTTTTTTTCAGATGAACAAGTCTGGCGCTATTTTTAATCAGTACTGTTCGTTGGTAATATGCTCGAAAAAGATGTAGAAAAAACAGGAATCCACACACATAAAATTTACATGTAATCGCAGTATAAAAGACGCTGTGCAGATGTGCATCAATACTTGCAAAACTTTACCCAATTAACAGAGAACCTCGATGACACGGGGATTTGAATCCTTGACCCAGAAATGAAATTTTGATAAGCTCAGCACAACATTATGCAAGCAACTCACAGTACATTGAATTAACTTCACGGAAGCATATATGCAAAAAAAAAGATAAGTTATAAAGTCGAATGAAGGAAGAGTAAAGAGATATCTGGTGATTAGCGAAAATGAAATATGAACTTCGACCGACATACTAATTCAAAACATGCACAATATTCGAACAGGAGTTAGCAATTAATCAGAAAAAATTTTCTCTGTGGACGATGAAAGACAAATATTGCAAAAGCAAGAGATCCATTTTTGGATAATAAAATTTGAACGGTTTCGCCAAAGTTTCTCTTCAAAAATGCTAACAAATTCACCCATACTACTTTAATACCGAACAAAAAAAAAACGGGCTCAAGAAAAAAGATTCGTGTTTTTACGATATTGTTATTAAATGTTCCCACGTTTGTATCAAAATTCTTAATAAAAATTGAACTTTGGTAGTTCCATTTCCAAACAAAAGGTCGTATGTACATGTTTATTACATATTCCGCGAAACAAAACATATGTTCCCCGCATAAGGTGATAGGTAACATCAAAAACCTTGGTCAACAGGAATGTTAGAAGTATCATTTCAACTCCGGTATTTTAATATACTATGCATAGCATGCGGTTTACAAAATTTTTTTCCAGCACATATGATTCATCCCTGGTAATGAAATGACTGCCCTCCTAGCGTTTCACTAATGCGCATTAACGTCAATACAATATTTTTTTCAATTTGTCCTACTCATCTATTGAGCACCCTTATGTTCCATGTAGTTTATAACTTCGTCAGTTGTTCTTTTTGAAAAGTAAGGAAGATTTTTCTTTCCTCCAAAAGTTTCAGAAGTTTCTAAATGATAAAAGCAGCAGAGACTTAAAATAAAATTCAAGAGTTCGACAGGTGCACGATGAAACTAGATACATTTTAGAAAAAAAATCAAAATGAACTGATGACATTTGAAAATTCAGTCCTTGCTCTTTCCATATCAATACGCACCATGCCTTCTTTCGTGTAGGATTGCCAAAAATTATGAGCCACTAATTTTTTTTGTTTTATCAATTATCACTTCGAATGAAAATATACATACCCACAACGTAAAAGTTTTGGAACTTTAAGCAAAAAGTAGAAGGACTGCAAAAAATGAAAAGAAAAACCTTGTTTGTACAATGCTTCCCTTGGTGTTTTTCGTCCCAAGTCCAACAGCCACGCTGTATGGTATTCCTGGAGGTGGTGGTGGTGTAGCTGGTGGCGGCGGTGAACTAAGCGAACTTTCACCACTCGCTTGACTGAAAAAATTTTTTTTTCAAATTTAATGCAAAATAAATCTGAAATAAATAAACGTTATTTTGATCTTATCAATAATTTTGATTCACCTTTTTTTAATTCCTCATTTTTACTCAACAAACCTTTCTTTGCTCTACCATTGCTTGTAAAATTCTAAGCATGAAATATTTTGGTGAATAAGATAATGAAATGAATTTGGCTTTTGCTCCCTTGTTAATACATACCAGTATTAACCGCTGGAATAACAAATAACAGTATTAGCTGCCGAAATACCGAAATCTCGACATGGTATATCTGCTGATCCTCATTACTTTTCTTTACCTCTTAATTTGTTCTACCTCAGTTTTCAAAAAATTAACTAAAAACTCCGAATCTTGGTTTAGGACTAAATTCCTGGATTTCGTAGAGCATCTAAACAATGCTCATAAAATATTCGTCAAAACACCTAATCGGTAGCATTCTTACAGTTAGGAACTGGTTATATACTGTGAAAATCGAAACGATGCAGGATCAAAAGAGTAAGAGAAGAAACAAAGAGAATACACTACCACATGTAATAATCATTAGGACCCTTAGCAAGGTATGTCCATTACGCTTTCGGTAACATAACTGCATGTTATTGAGAGCAGAAATGCCAATAAAAGATGTTCACAACGCTAGTCGTTACAATGTTCTCAAAATTACCCATTGATTAGGACTTCCGATATTGTTACTAGTTATTTTATTCAATTATTGACCCCGTCCTTATCCCTGGATATAATAAATGAATAATTTCAGAAGACAATTCATATGGTAACTGTCATTTTATGATTAAAAAAGTAACATTCAGGTTGTTAAAAAAAGTTACTGTGCAATATTACTTTTTTTAAAGTCTGAAATTTTAGCTTTAAACTTTCCAATCTAGATCTAATTGAAATTTGATCGAAAATTCGAAAGAAAACAACCAAAAATATTGCACAAACCTGCAAAGTATTTTCAAATTAGGTACGTTAACGTTACGGATGTTTAACATGGTAAGGTTGGAAAAATACAAATGTGCATATAT